CCCCAAAACCCCAAAACCCCAAAACCCCAAAACCCCTACCAAGTATAACTTAATTGAATTTTAGCTATGCTTAAAATTAGACAAATAACCGTACACTCCAAAACTAAGTTAAAAGTCGCCGGAAGAGGAATTTAAGCCAATCTGAGGCTCTCTGAGCCTCAGATTTGGCTCATACTTTACTTTTTGACATGTTTTAGAGCTTAGAGTTAGAGTTTTTGGAGATTTGTTATCTTTTTCGCACTCTTCTTTATTGTTACTGGAGCTAGTTAAGTACTTCGCGATTCTTGTTAAGGACTTGCTCCTGAAATTTTGGCTGCTGAGGTTTAAAGAGTGTTGGAGGGTCTTCTTGAGAGATGAATTTGATAAGTTTGACTGAGTATACAGCTTTCTTTTAGGCATTTTTAAATAGGTACTTGATCTCTCAGATTCCTTAAATCTTTTCAGAGAGGCCAGAACTAAAAACATGTTAGAGTTGGATCAATTAAAAATGATTAGTAAGAGATAATATCCAGAACTGAGTTTTCAGGTTTTTATTCTTATTCTGTGTTTAGGTTTTTACTCGTATTTAAAATTTCAAGGTAAATATAATAGTTTTGTGAGTAGCCAGAACGAGCTCCTTCTTACTTGCTTAAAAGTCTAAGGAGATATTACTAGGTCAGTAGTAATTTCAGAACTCTAAAACTAATTTAATAATCTCCAATTTTTAGATATCTGAATGTAAACATGGATATTTGGGATAACTTACTTCCAGATTTTGAAAATTTAAGGTGAGAAATTTGAGGTAGAGAACCATCTGAAGGGTTTCCATAACAATCAGAGACACTATCATAAGCGTTCAGACGTAGTCCAAACTTATTAAGTGCTGAAACATGGTCGCATCTTAATAACCTCTCGAAGCTTCTCTCAAACCTATTTTTACTTCTGCTATGACGATTCTTGTGCAGTAAAATGTCTTTGGTGGACCATTTCTTCTTCTGCACAACATGTTTTGGAGTCTTGTTTCTCAAATCTTCGAAATTTCCATCAGCTATTTTTATTAAGAAAATCTGAAAACCACCAATATAAGTGGAAACTATTCTTACTTGTTGTGAGGTTACTGTTATCATGGTCCAGCCTGTTCCTTTTCAATTTTCTCTGGCTTGGCGATTTCAGAGGATTCTTCAATTTAGTGAGTCTTTTTGAAAAGCTTTGGATGATGGGAGGGGTTCTGGATTTCATGGGGTAAACAGTTAAAAATGTGTCAAAATATTATTATTAATACTAATGTTTCAACCTTTATCTCCTCAAGAGGGGTTTTGGGGTTTTGGGGTTTTGGGG